ACTTAATTTTTGTATGGACAACATATGTGTAGTAGTTGTGATGCTTCTGAAGGTAGTATGGTACTGATTAGCTGTTGCATTTCTCTTCTATCCCAAATTCTCTCCTATAATTATACTGTTAGTGGGTACTTAATTGCAGGCAAGTGCATATGTGTCAATGATACCAAAGGACGAAGGACGAAGGATGAAAATGAAGCATTCAGAAACAGGGGAACCTTTTTTCACCAATTTGTCACGTGCTTTCATCTATTCGTCACTTTTTGGTGGTACTACTTTGGATTATATCTTTTACACAGGTATTGTTTCAAATTATGCCTTTGTCACATTGTTCGCCAAGATCTAATATTCCAGACCCTGCCAATCTTCCATGGAGGAGCCTTATCCAATGGGTTGATGGTATAGATTGTAATTATCTTCTACATTGTTCCCGTCAAAAAAAAAAAAAAAAAAAAAAAAAAAAAAAGATTGTGGGTTTCTCAACCTCGAATCTGCTTTCTTATAAAGATCACCTTACTTTAGATTGCACGTGACATTTTGGAGTAGATAATCATAATTCTGTACCTGAGGAATGTTGTTGCTATGTGGTTATGTTGATTGGTAGTTGCTAGTAAAAAAATTTCCTGCTGAATGATTTGTTTCACCTATATGTTTGTTCAATAGTTATTCATTGATTTGTAAACTCGCTCTATCATATGCATGTCATGTGCTAGCCTAGCTACTCTTTTCTTATTACTCTTTTCTTATGCCTAGCAGTTAAGCACCATATTTATGTAAATTTTATATTGTTAAGTCATCATGTTTTAAATTGTAATTAAATGCCATGGCTGTCTGATTTATTCATCAACTTGCATTTACTTATGCTTGAAAAAATAGTTTCAATTCTAATTTTGATTGTTTTTACAGCGGGTAGCTTGGAAATTGAAGGCCTCTTGGAGCCCCCTCACTTTGGGAGTGTGGGTAGATCGCTTCCCTTCCCTTTGTGGACATCAGACCACGTTGCACTCATGGGAAGTTTTAGAATTACAAGACCATTTCTTGGGTGAAATCGCAAGGTTCATATGATGGTATGTCTAGAGATATTATATATCCTGGTTCATAAAATTGCACTAAAACATCTAGTAAAGATCTCATCGTGGAAGTTGTGTTATGATTTTGTGTTATTATTACATGTGTTTCAACATTTAAGGCTCTTTTTTTTGGTGTTTAGAGAGCCACAAGGGCGGGGGTGAGAATCGATCCCATAATCTCCTGGAACCGGGAGGGAGCTCTAACCACTTGAGCTATCCCTCACTCTCAACATTTAAGGCTTTTGTAGTGCTGCCCACTAGCCTAGTGAATTAGTGATGGACTTGTGATCTTAGAACATTGGCAATATTCTAAATAAGCCACATAACTGTCTTGTGTCTGCGATGTTTCCCAATTGTCTGATTAAAAAAGTGATCTCTGTTTATTAGTAAGAATTAAAGTATGACAACATGTATTTAACCTAGAACATTAAAAAGTAAGTACAAAGACATGTTACAAAGGGGAATCAAGAAAGGAAAGTAAGGGTGAAATTTGAGAGGAAAAAAATTTCAGTCGAAAGGCTATTTCAGTTAATAACGTCTGTGTAAAAAAAAAAGTTAATAACATTAATTGATGCTATGAGGTGATATAACCATTTGCTGTATTATATTCATTTTCCAGGCTTTCTTGTTGGATTTGAAAAAACTATACTTGTATATATCTTGAAGCCAGTTAGAGCAATTCACAAATGAGTGCTCAAGTCCATTAGGTTTCTTTCAAAAAAAAAAAAAAAAAAAAAGTCTATTAGGTGATGTATTGTTGACACCTTAACATGTCACATGATAAGGTTAAATAGGATTGTCATAATATAATTTATGATCCAGATAATACCACATAAAACCCCCTCTTTAGTTATGTATTTATATTGTTGAATAGTTTCTATCAAACTAATTTCTTCTTCATATTACTTATTTGGAGAGCCATATTTTGATTTAGTACGAGAAAGTTTGAAAGATTTTTTTTTTTTATAAAGATATACTTGGAATGAACCACTCAGTTGTGTTTTGGTGGACCTTTAGCTATGAAAACCTAGACTAAATTTTCAATAATTGAATATGAAGTATAGTAGATTTATATGCCAATTCAGTCAAAGATGTTGGGATCAGAATAAATTTTATCCTTTAAATAGGCATTTTCTTTTCTGGTTGTTCAAGACATTACCTTATACAATTATTTTTAACTCAAGAGTGATATTTTTTAGCAGTATTTTATGTACTTTTACCTGAATTTGATGCATTGTATTTCTGTTTGAAAAAGTCTTGATTTTGAAAATCTAAGTAGTTAATTCTTCCTCAATCAGCCATGATTTTGTTGAGAACACATAGTGCATAACCTATAGCCTTTGTGGTTGTGCTTGAGGCCTGGATCTTGGGAATTACTCGAGAACATATAGTGCATAACTTATAGACATTACGTTATAACAGTTAGTTGATGTAGACGAGCTTTGACTCCAAATCTTATTACTCGAGCATTTTACTTATAGAGACCACTTCAAGCAAGGTAAATGGATTATGGTAATTAGAAGTCCTATTTTATCCAAAGAAGGATCGGCATTTATGGAAAAACGTGCATATCCTAGATGGCTTGATTGTTGAGACATAAATGCAAGAGTAGCTTGATATAAGTTTTTGCAGAAAATACTGATGAGTATTAGTATTCCAAGCAAGCAAAATGTTAGAGGTCATTAAATTGAATAACTAGTCTGGAGTCTGGGCTTTAAATGAAAACCTTGTCTGCGTATCCAATAGTAAATGAACTTCCCTCCTACCTGGTAGTGACCCAGCCTTTATTTGTGGGTAGCTCTCCTTATCTTTTTTTTTTTCCTTTCTTTTTTTAAGTGACAAGTGGGAATTAAAATTGAATCTATGACTATATTTATTCAATTAAGCTTATCATCTCTTTCCTGTCCCATTTAGGTATTAATAATTTATTTAATTTGCATGATGCACGCAATTGTCGCAATCTCTATCTCTTTGCGGCTTAGTCTCGTTTTCTCGTGCAAAATATTATATTGCTATGTTATACTTCATGATACTTCCTTCATTCACGTTTAGTTGCAACAATATGACCAAAAACCCGTAACATTTTTAGTCAAACTGTTTGCAGCAAAAAGTGAACAGAGGAAGTATTGAGGCTTTGGTTGTTGTGTTATACTATACAAAGTATGAGGCATGACTACAGGAGTGCATGCCCTCTCAAACATGTTTTCCATATTCCTATTGGAAATCTCAGTCTTCAAAAATAAGTTTTGACGACTATTATCTCTCGTTTTATTTTGGGACAATTTTTACTGAAGATACTTACAGGAAAGTACTTTTGATGATAAAATGCTAATAGTACTAATCTTCTATATTGACAGGGATGCTGTGTTTGGCATGGCTTTTAAGGCTAGCAAATGGAGTTCTGGACTAGTTGCGATTGTTTGGCGTTAGCTAATGGGAGTGTCTTTGCTCAAACACCATCCTATTGACTTAGACTTGCATGATGCTGTACAAACCCTAACTTCAACTTCATTATGAGTCATTGAGCGGATGAACACCCTGCCACTTTGTAAAACTCTGTTCAAATATCTAATACTTCGGAATAGCAAGTGAAAGATCCAACCTCGGACTTTTAGTAAGCTATTCGATTTCAGATCAGATAACTTCAGCATGATTATTTGTTGTTATCAGCAAGATCATTTTAGGCTTGTCCATTTGTTGTGTTTACAGTGCTCTTATTCAATTGTTGAACCCTTTATTTTTCTATTAACCATGTTTGTTTTACTTGTTAAGGGCCTAAGGCTAGGTTGTCTTGTAGGCTTTTAAGTCTTGAAGACTAGTGTAGAACCCTCCATCACAAATAGACCTCCCCAGCACCTGAATTAGTGTCTGATTCGGCTGGGACTCATGCTACACAATTTCCCTGGTTTTAATTATCGTTAGCGAATGCTAAGTGGGTTTCTTTTGTTTAGATGTAGGAAGTAATATTGTTTTCACATTTGCAATTTCTAGGGAGCTCTACTTCCTTTAAAGAATAGAAAACTACGAGTAAGTTTTAATTACCTAGAGGCGACTAGGTGAGTAACTTCCCCTGCTTTGTGTGAAGCAGAGAAGAAGTTGCACTTCATGTGTTCTTGTCAACAAAGTAATTCAATAAGTTTAAATTTATGTCAACCAAAAGACCGCTAAGTTGCTACGATGAATGTAGGTCATAAATTCCCTCCATAAATCATGCATTTATTTCATTTAGGTATAAATTTGATCATAAGCTGCTATTATTAATAACCCTGCCCCTTAGTAATGAATAGGTCTACAGTTCAAAGCATGAATGTTCAGTTTGCAAATATTAGTGCAAGAAGAACTGTGATTCTAGATCACAGATATAATAACTTAGCCAGTAAAAACGTACGAGTAAATTTCTGTAACTTGTAAGTAGTTAGAAATCTTTAAGTTTGACACTTGAACATGTACCTTCACTTGATCATACACTCACCCGCTCACCGCCCTCGAGGCGAAAATCAGAGCGTAGTTTTAATTATTTAATTAAATTTACGCTCTGTTTTCTTTAAGAGGGACATGCATATAAACACTCTCATTCATTCAGTTTTCAGGTAAGTGTTTGGTGAATGTTTACATCTAATGTCATGAATGTTGTTAGCTAGGTGGAAGTTGGGTGTATTAATAAACGTCGATTACTATTTTTCCCTTTTTTAGGGAAGAAACCATTACGGTTGATATGTAGTACATCATTTATTTTTTATGATGAGAAAGTACCATAAGACAAGACTAGTAAGACTATTGGTAGCCCATCCCTTTGTGTAATTACATTCTTATTATCAATGCAATAGTAATTATATTTTTATGCTTTAACTATCCTAAATTTATTTGCATATTTATTTTTGGTATCCTTCATATTATTTACACAAATTAAACTGTTAGTTTGACCATTTAGAGTAGAAAGAATGATGATTAAGTAACCAACTAACTAGTAAATTTGACATGATTGTTGCTGATGATCTTCATATTTTTTTATTTTTTTTTTGCAACATACTAAACAATATTATTGATATTATTATGATTATTATTATTTTTGGCCTAAATAGCTATTAACACTCAACCTTATGATCATTAATTCATATGTTGTTGTGACTAATAAAAATTAACAAGAGAGGCTAAGTCTTGGCTTGAACAGGTCAAGAGGGCTCTGGCATGGAGGGTGCACATATTTGCAGTTGGGACATGTAGGTGAGGATTTGCACAGCATCACCAGCATATGGCACCGTTTGCAAGCGGTTGCAACCATCTCCTCTGCATCGTCTGCTGTTTCGACATCGATAGTGTTCGTCTTTCCGGCAGTATTCAGACTCCTGAATAGATTAGGAGAGGCCGACGGTGGTGGTGAGTGGCTAGATTTCTTCTTGATCATCGTAGTTGTTGTGTTCTTTACTGATGTTGATTTTGAGATATTATGGTTGAGTGAACCACAAGGCAGGTTTAGCTCAAGGTCTAAGCTCATGTGACAGTCTTTAGGACTTGATGGTTCTGAGCTTTCCCTTGGATCTCTCTGTGTTCTTTTTTGTGTTCTTGTGTTGTAGAAATGTATTTCCCCTGACTGCATGCAATATAAACTATGTTTAGAATTAAAAAATTGATGAATTATTTTCTAATAGATGAACCATTTAAATATTTAGAATAAGCACGAAAAAAAAAAAACTAACAGTTAGCCAAATAGCCTTATCACGGGAAAATTTACCTGCATATCGAGACACCGTTGCCATTCAGATGGCAACGGGGTCTCGAGGTGAAGCTCAATATCAGAAAAGGATTTAGAGGCAAAGGCCGCAACTGCGGTGGCAGCCTTGGGATTCCTCCAATGTTTGTAAGGAAGGATGGCCTCCTCTTCATCTTCTGTGTCATTCCATTTCCTTTTCATATTACTCTTGGAGTTGGAGTCATCAGTCGTTTCCGAAATCGGGTTTCGTTGATCATTTAGTTGAAGGAAAGATGTTTGAAATGATACCATCGTTAAGATGTTTTTCTTCTGTATTCAAAATCAGTTTATGTGGGTGTGTTGGTGTGAGATAAAGTGGGGGTGAGAAAATGTATTTGGGGCTTAAATAGGGCAAAGGAAGAATCTAAGAGGGCAAATATAAAGGTGGATTTTGGGTGGCCCACATTTATTAAATATTAATACTACGATTTTCTGTAGTCTTAAAACGTTTGGCGTGCTCAACCAAATTGAAGTTGAAGTTGAAGTTGTGTTTTTAATTCAATTTACTGCACTGTATTTTGGGAGCTGCTCATCTTTTAAAGCTTGGATGGCGTAGTCCTAACCAACTCCCTCTTCTCCTCTTCCTAGTCAATATTTATTGATTCCTCCTCACTAAATTGCATTACCTGATCCCGCTGACCTATCTAGCGGTCTCTATTTAGTCGTCATGACTCGCCACTTTGTGTGTCAATAAGTCTTAGGTGAGATGGACTAACATTCGAATAACTTCTTGTGAAACATTTGAACTTACCACTAAATAATATGAGTACCAAGTATGAACTATGGAGTCCCCACTTCAATATTTTGGTATCGTGATGAATTAGTATGTTGTATGTTAGTTTTATACAAGATTTTGTCTATATCTAATGTGAAAATTCATTTAGACAATAAGTAATTGTGTCATATCGGATTGTACAATATACTATTATAAGATGATTTAGACTCTATACCCATCTTCCATGGATTATTAGTGTTGTCAATCGCTTATGTATAACAACTGCAAAGGACATTAAAATAGTGGATGTATTGTTTAAATTTTATACCATGTATCCAAACTTTAGTACTTGTATATGTTTTTAACTATTGAACAACTTTTTAATAATTCGAATACTCAATTTTTACTCGATTGCAATTGTTGTGTTAAAGACTTACTCCCTCTGTCCCTTAATACAAAATCTCTTATAAGCATTTATTACGCACATAATAAAGAAAAGAGGCTTTTAATTTAGGGATGGAGGAGTAATAACTAACAAACTAATAATGAGTAGATTTGAAAAACCCTAATGTAAAATCTTTGCATTTTTTGATCGGTTAGTCCCTTTGACTTTAAATTTTAAAAAGTCAATTTCGATTCATCTATCACGACTTTGACTATGAGACCCTGTTTATTGATCTTATACAGTATGGATGCGTGTCAATTTCCAAACATATCTCTTTATTTTTTTTAAATGTCTTTTTAATGGTAGATGAATTTGGTTGGTGGACGTGGTATGATCGAAAATAAATAGTCACCCATCCTACAAAATCTCACTTCAAATTGTGAAGAAATATACTTTAAAAATATTACTACCTCTACTTTATAGTACCATTTTTTTTTTTTTTTTTTGTGTTTAAGGCTCTATTCACTTCAAATTAATTATAATATTAAGTCACGACTTAACAAATTATGTACAACAATTTGGTGAGTATAACAAGGAAAATAAATTTTTTTTTTTTTTAAAAATCCAATATGCGCAAAAGTAAAGTATTACTCGTACAAGTTTACAACTAATATAAAACGGAAAAAATAGAACGAAACTTGTTCCAACAATAAATATGGCTAATAATGTAGCCTACTAAATCCAACAATACATAAATACATATAACTACTCTAATAACTCAATTCATTAAAAAAAAATCAGATAGATATCTTGAGGAGCACTTTACTATCCATCACATATCAATATACTGGGGTAGCTGGACTGGGTTCAATATGTATGTTAAGATTTAAGAACCTAGGTAAAATTGATCATGGATCATCCTAAATTTAGGAGAGAGAAAATAGTAATATAAATATTATTAATATGATCATATTAATTAATAATAGTACGTAGCTTAGTAAATAGAGGCGGTGACGTTATAGGAGAGAGAAAGAGAGAGTCATTAAATAGAGGGTCTGTTGTACAGTTGAAGGAGATAGTGTCTTCAATGCCTTACTGATCATTTTTAATGGCCGGATTCAATTCCAATATTAAGGACTTCCTTCTTTATTATTGTTATTGTTATTATTATTATCACATTCATATTGAGCAACATCAATACAACTTCCTCAATTGGATGGCGCATAAATAACTCATAAGTCTGTTTTCTTTTAATTGCAACATAGAAGATCATCAGGCGGAGTGTGTAGTTTGTAATGAGATGAGAGAATTAGAAAAAAAAAAGAGAGAAAATATCAGCCAAATATAAAGCATCGGTTTGTTCTCTTTTAATTGCAACATCAGATGACAGGTTGATAAAGTGAATAAACTAACAAATTTTAACAATTATTTTACGACTTTTTTAAAAACGGAAGAAGTGTGTATTAAATACAAGGCGAGAATTTATAAATAAATAGAATAGAAAAAAATAAAAAATGTTTCTAATAATAAAAGCATTCAACAGCCCTCAATTTAATAAATTTGATCGTCAGCTATTATAACAACCACATCCCCATGACCTATGAATCCAAACACTTTAAATACTTATTAGTTCAACACACAATAAACATCTATGATACATCCATCCATCCTATAAACTTTAATTCGTTTTCAACACCCCTTTGCTTTTATTAACAACTACATCCACCTATACGTACTGCTCCCATGTCCCTCTCCCCTTCTCTCTTTTCTTTCTTACGTTAGTGAGTAACTGCATGCAAAATATCTTTCTTTACCGGTCCGTAGATAGATAGGTACCTATATGATATGACGTTAATGATGAATACATGACAAAATCATACGTTGATTGGAAAATATTTAAATAATCTAATCTGTATTTTTTTTTTATTTGTATTTTTGTATGCCACTCAAGGGTTATTTTATGAGTATCTTTTATTTTTTACACCTAATGCGTAGAATTTTATTTTGTGCGGATAAATTATTCCTTAAGTAAATGTAGCGATGTTCAAGTAGATCATTCCCCTCGTACACTAACTATATAATAACGATGTTTTTAAAATTAAATGCATGATTAAGACAGTAATTAATTATGCAAGAGCAGCAGCCAACCAATTCATCTAAAATTTAGAAACTTGATAGTTAATTAAAGACTTTTGTAATAGATAATATTGTGTTAAGAATTTTAAGAAACCAAGAGATTGTATATTTCATGGAGTAGTAGCTGCGAATATTGATCGTTGAATTAAACAAATGATATAGACCGGATTTTTTTTTTTCCTTTTTTTTTAAAAAAATTACTCTTTATTATGTACTATCCTACATATTGCTGACGGGTTTAGGGGCACCTCATGTTTGAGCTCATGTACACCATCCTTTCACGATATAATACATACTGTCACCGTTTCATATTAGTTGTAACTTTGGGGTATTATTTGTGAGATATAAAATACTCCAAAGTTGTAACGGGATTAGAAGGTATGTTGGTTAGAAGGTATGTTAACTACTTATTATGTATAATGTATGGATTAATGAAACCAAAAGCATAGAATTGATTAATACAATTTATTTGTAAAGTGATTGGTTGATAATAATATCTTAATGTTATAGTTGGCAACTTAATATTGGTGGATCATCTCTTATGTCATGTGTGGTTGGTTATAAATCAATTGGAAAAGAGTAGTCATATTACTCATATATAATTGTTTAAAGCTGTCATGTTCTTTCCTCTAATTGAAAGGCTTTTATTGCATATTTGAAGAGTGTTTGTAAAAAACAATTTCAAATAATTTCAACATTTACAGAGGCAATCAACTTAAACTAACTAATATCTTATACGTAGTGTATATATATATATATATACTCCTTCCGTCCCATAATACATGAGATGTTGGACTTTTTTTCAACATCCATGCATTAGATTTGAGCATAACACTACTAGAAAACACGTAAATTGCGACGGAAATTTTTCGTCGGAAACACCATGTTTTCCGTCGGAAAACCTATTTTCGACGGAATTCCGTCGCAACCGGTTGTCGCAATAGTTTTTGTCGGAAAAACACCCTTTTCCGTCGGAAGCATTTTCCCAACGGAATTCAGTCTGTTGGAAGCGAGTTTTAGGCCCGTCAAAGTCCGTCGGAATTTACCGTCGGAAAGTGGTTTTAAAAAAACAAAAAAAACGCCCACTGCCACCCCGTACCATCGCCTGCCGTCACCCAACACCACCAGCTCCCACCTATCAAAACAAGCCAAACCCTAGCCGCAAAACACAAGAGAAAACTTACCACCACCAGATCCCCACCCACGAACCAAAACAAACCCAGATCCCCACCACCACCAGATGCCTACCCACGAACCAAAACAAACCCCACCCACGAACCAAAGCAAACCCCAGATCCTCACCAATCCCGGCCCAAACCGCAAAACACAAAAAGAAAACTTACCACCACCACCACCACCACCACGGCACCACCAACCACCCACCACGGTTTCCTCCGTTTCGTCGGGAAACCCAAAAATTATTTAAAAAAAAAACACAAAACGTATCACCATCATGAAACCTAAAAATTGAAACTAAAAAATTAAAAACACATATACATACCTTTAAACTTGAATTTGCTTCAAAATTAAGCTTGAAATCGGTTTTTGTGGTCGAATTTGACCTTAAAAAACCCTTTATTTGTTTAACACCATCCCTAAAGCCAAATTGACCACCACCCTCAAACCGCTGAGAAACTACAAAAAAAAAAGAAGAGGAAAGAGAGGAGAAGAAAGAGGCGATAAAGAGAAGTGAGAAAAGAGAAGAGGAAAGAAAAGAACAGTGGGAAGGAGAGAGCAAATCAGAGGGAAAACTGAAGGGGGAAGATGAGAGAGAAGACGAACAGGAGAAGGGAGAAGAGGAGAGAGAACGAGAATAGGGATAAGAAGAAAGACAAAGAGAGCAGAGGAGGCGGAAAGAGTGTGTAGGGTTTTGTAAAAGTATAAGATGTTTTAAAAAAATATTATAATATTTCGACGGAAAATTCCGTCGGAAATTGTCTTTTCCGACGGATTTTCCCGTCTCAAAGTACATATATTCCGACGGATTTTAAATCCGTCGGAATTGTTAAATTCGTCGGAATTTTCCGACGAAATGAAAATCCGTCGGAAATTTCGATTTTTCCGACGGAATAATGTGTCCGTCGGAACAAATCCGTCGCTATTTGCCTGTGTTTCTAGTAGTGTAATT